AGCGTTTTTCAGGTCTGTGCTACAAACTGCAGGCAGCAGGATAATAAAAGCCAACATATTCTGCCGGCAGGTTTCTACATTTGAAGTTAATTTAGGCGTTAATAAACTGTTTCAGAGCAGTGATCATAGCGCTCTGCATCAGCAGCTGCGTCTGACTCCCTGCCAGCTCCCAGATCAGCTTCTGATTGGTCGATGCGTCCAGCTGCTGCTGCTGCTGATAAAAAAATTTTACATTTAGCAAAAAAAAAATAATTAAATGTTTATTAACAAATCAAACAAAACAGTTTATAGCAAATGGAGAAGAGCAACAATGCAGGAGCTCAATTTTCTCCTCCATCTTCTTTGGTTTTTATTTCCCTCTGCTGGTTTTTCAAATCCTGGTCAGATATGTTGATGTTTTTGTTAAGATGGGACCCAGTGTGGGCTTGGAGACTTAAGGGGCCTCCAGATGAGGCCGGGGCCCCCAGATGAGGCCCGGGGCCCAGTGTTTATCCCATTAGGCGCTCACAGAAACGGGGTGATGTTACTGGTTTAACTGGAGCTAAAGCGTCCCGCAGAGCGGCCCCATTAACCCCGTTCCCATGGCGCTGTCTGTGTCAGAGCGGCCCAGAGGATCCAGGCTCATTTCTTCTTCTGTGGTTTTTCCAGGAGTTGCTCCGTGTTTGTGGTGAAGCCGTAAACATCAGTTTCTGTTGGATGAACCAAACCGTCCGGTTACTCGGGATGAAGCGGCCATTTTTCTCCCTGTCTGTTTGTTTTCTCCTGTGACTGTTGAGCATCCGTGTTTTCCCACTAACTCCCAGCGTGTTCCGGCTCGCCTGCCGTTCCCACATGAAGAACCGGTTTGGTGCAAGCTGGTTCCGGTTCCTTTGACCCGGAATGTTCTCAGCTCTGCTCCAGATGTTAGTCTAGATCAGGTGTTGTGGGTCCAGTCTAACGCTGTGATGTCTCTGTCCTGCAGGCCCTGGCCATGCCCTCCAATGCGCGGGCGGGCAATCTGAAGGACCCGGACGTGGCGGATCTGTTCTGCAAAGATGATCCAGAGAAGCTGTTTACGGATCTGCGTGAGATCGGCCATGGCAGCTTTGGAGCCGTCTACTTTGTGAGTAACGGGGGGGTGGGGTGGGGTGGGGGGGAGTCTGATCAGGGTGGTTAATATAGGAATGTTCTGCTGCAGCATCACCAGTCAGCCAGACTGTAAGCCTGGATTGTTCAGCAGTCAGTCAGACCTTAAGCCTGGATGGTTCA